TTTTTTCTCTAGAAAGCAAGGTTGATTAAGAGTGAGAATGAGGGAGGAAGGCTTAGAGGTGAGGGTAAAATAATTGCCTCAGAGAATGAGAAAGTGAATTTAGTGTTAAATGCAAGATTACTCGTCAGTGCTGAGTACTCTTTTCAGATTTGTGGACAGACGTTTAAGGTGATACCGGTTAGTGGGTGGAAGCATCTCCATTTGGATGCCTGACAGGCATCTCAAACACAGTATGTTCAAAAGGAAATTCCAGTGTGTCATGAGTACTATAAAGATAACTTGTTTTCAATCCACACGCCCTTCCCCGCAACTGATATTTGTTTTATGCTTCTTTCTTCTAAGTCTCCCTTACCAGGCTTTATTCCATTATATCGTGGTTGAAGAAATTATATTAAATGCAATTATTGGAAGTAACCAGGATTTCCTGGTCACCTCCAACTAAGTTAGGTCTCCTTGACCTTTCACAGGGGTCAGCAAACTACAAATCACAGACCAAATCCAGCTTGCCCCCCGTTTTTTGTACAGCCCCACCAACTAAGAATGGTTTTTACATTTCTAAATGTTTGAAAAAAAAAGAAATCAAAATAATAATATTTCATGACATTTAAAAATGATATGAAATTCGAATTTCAGTGCCCATAAAGTTTTTCTGGAACACAGCCACATTCATTCATTCATGTCTGTGGCAGCTGTAGCGTTACAAGAGAAGAATCGAGCAATGGCTCTTCCATCACTTTCTACCCACAAAGCTTACATTACCTGGCCCTTTACAGGAAAAATCTGCCTACTCCTATTCCAATAAACTTGACTAATGAAGAGTGAGGCCATATAGGTTGGCAAATACAGAATCTAGAGAAGCACAGAAAGTAGAAGGTTCTTTAGAGAACGGCTAGTCCAAAACCTTCATTACAGAGGAAGAAATCAAAACTCAGAAAGGCAAAGCGACTTTTAAGTCCCACAACAATTAGTAACAAACCTGACCCTAGAACCCAAGTGCTGACTCTAATCCATCAAATCAGACGTGTGAAATTAGTGTTTTAACATAATATATCTAGATAGGTCAGAGACGTCTGAGAAAAATTTACCAGTTTACACCAACTGATTAGAACTCATTGATATATTTACTGTCACATATACTGACTTTATGGTAAGGAAGTATGACATGTTCTTAATGGCTAGATTAAAAACATACCTGAGGGTGCTTGGACAATGAGAATTCCTCTCCCCACCTTGAGGAGGAAAATGAAAACAAGATTAAGATTTGTAAGATTTAATGTGTTCTCTCTTTACATATTTTAAAATAAGCCTTACAAATGTAGTTAAGGAAGCCAAGAGATAAGAGGAGTAAGAAGCTATAGATCTCAGTTTGACTGCCAGCAGATATAACTATTGAGGGACTTAGTGTGCAATAGCCATTTCAACAAAGTTGATAGTTGCTCTTAAAAAAGTGCTCTAGTATAACGTGTATGAGCATATTGTCAATAAACACTGTTTAATGAATACTGTTTCATAATAGAGTAGCATGTTCAAAATTTTCACTGTGTTCAAGGTTATAACACTAATTAAATAATATCCTCCACTGGAGAAAGCTTGTCAGAGTATACCACGTAAAGGCATTTAGAAAAATGTCCATGGTCTGTATACAGAAGGCTCTAGAAAGGAACTCTCCTAGAACCTGGCCTAAGTATCCTCCTCTCTCCCTTCAACACTACTGAAGATCACAGTAGAAGCAATAGCAGTGGTAGAAAGAGCGAAGCTTAAAATTCAGTTGAACCATTTATTAGCTAAGTATCCTTGAACAAGCCTGTTTCCGTACCTTTTTTTTAAAGAAGGGGAAATAAAAGACCTCACTTTACCAAAAAAAAAAAAAAAAAAAAAAAAAAAAAAAAAAAAAAAAAAAAAAAGAAAGAAAAACAACTCCCCCCCCACAAAATAACTAACAAAATTCAACATAAAATGGAAAAGATAAGGTTTATATAGAAAGAACCTAAAAGATATTGAGTGATTAAATCTGGGAAACACCAAGTTCAATCAAAGTGACCTAATCAAGTGTTTGTAAACTCTGGAAGGAAAGTATAATTAATTAATAGAAAGAACTGGTTTGAATGGAGTCTAGGTGTGAGGATCTATGAAAAAGGATAAATCAGTGTTTCTTACCACCAAGCTAGGCTTTATGCAAATTCCTGTGCCATCTAGCAATTACATATTTTTTGTGCTAAAAAAAATATCGACAAATTGGGAATCAAGTTTAACAACTCAAAACAACTTTGTTCTGACAAGTTTCCGGTTCTCCAAAACTGAGGTGAGCTCTTGCTTCGAGGTGTCTCACAAAGCAACCTGCAAAGCCCTACTGGGATGCAATTGGTCTTCTTACTTTTCTGTCTTCCTGCCTGCCAAGTCCAGTGAAGAGTATAACTTAACATCTTTCATGACCTGCTACTTAAAATTTCAAAACTTACCCAATTGACCGTAATTTGAAAGTTCTCTGATCAATATTAAGTACTTTCACTTCCTAAAGAGGAAAAAATATTTTAATTAAAAAAAATGTTCATTATAGTCTATCTACTAAAAACACATCTATCACCTTTTTTAGATAATACCATACAACTTCAATGATGGAAAGAAAATTAAAATGTTAACTAAAATAGAACAAATTAAATATATTTCAGGAAATGTTTTTTTTCTTACATATTTAAGGGAAGTATATTTGAAAATGTATAATCTAAAAATGAGTCAAAAGAATTTTTCTGTAAGATAGAGGAGGATGATATATGATTTCAAGGACTCTCAGCATTTTTTTCCCCCCTTAGCTTTATCAAGGTATAATTGACAGAACATTGGCCTATTTTTATATAATACTATAGGTACTGGAACTCTGTAGTATGAATGACCTAGTTAGAAGATATGTAGTGGACCTGGTAAGGGAGAGAATGGAGGAATTATGGAAGCAAGGAGGGCCATGTGTACCAGATAACAACTATGTTAGATATTCCCTTCTAGAGGTTGATGGCAACAAGCAATCTTCAGTTGGCTTTTCCATTTTCACATTAAGGAAAACTAAAAGCACTAATTTTTTAACTTAGGCCAACATGAGAGCTGCTAAATTCAAACAGGACAAAAGAAACATACAAATGGACATAAATATAGCTCAAATTCGGGAGACATAAAAAGTGTGGATGAAGATAGTAAGTACATTCTTATCATACAATCCTGATTGGTGAAAAGTATATAATAAGAGATCTAAATACAAATGGCATGTACATAGGCAAACCCAGGTTAACCAAGAGGAATGGTTATTATAATCTCTGCAAATCAATACCTTTTTATATATCTGTATGGCTTTGTTTCGTATCACAAGTTCTACTTTAAATCACTGGTTCTATTTTAAATTGTGAACTAAGAATCCATTTGCTCAGTAAAAAAGAAAAACCTTTGCTTACCCGGGGTATGAAGAATTCATCAGCACTGAACTTATAAAGCCACTCATCCAAAAAGTGAAAGAGAAGAGATTGTAAGTCATCTCCTACACAGCATCAAAAAGAATCATAATAGTATTATATTGAATAATCTTGTTTCTAAAAACTTATTTGAATTTAAAAGTGCAATAAATTTCTTAGGCAAGTTCAAAGAGGAAAAACAGGCTGATAATTTTGTTGTTCTTATGAAAATATACTGAAATTATGCAGAATACTGTACATTTGTGTAACAATTTCTTCCTTGTGAATAAATTGGTTACCTTGGGTTTCTACTTCTATTGTTTGGAGGGGCTCCACAGTCCCGGTATCTGTCATGTAACCAAACATGGCCATTGCACACTGTTCGAATGCTTCTTCCAGAGTATCTCCCCATGCATGTAACCTAAAGAAATACATTTATGCCCTGTGTAATTAACTGCAAGATACAAACCTGACAGCAAAGTCAAAATCAAATCAATGTAATAAATACAACAAAACCAAAAAACTCAAATCAATTTCATGGCACTAAAACTGGGTGCTTTTAAACCATCACTTTCATGTTCTAAAGGAATCAAAATGGAGAAAAAAATAAAACTAGAGACATCAAGATTAAACCATCATCAGCCTTCCTATTTAAGCACATGGTTTCAAAAGCATAAACTCCAGGTATACTCACTGGACATCCGCTGTATGATCCAAATCTGAGGAAGAGAGCGAAAAACACTTATAAGTAACTAAACTTGACTTACTAATTGTAAGAACTCTATTCATTGTTAAGAATATCAGCCTTGAAGAAAGAGAAATGTGGTTTATACAAAAGTTAATTGCTTTGTTTAACTTCTTAAATTTCTTCTAAGTATCTACAGTTGTTATTAATACTGTATTAAATAAATGACTAAAGAACTAATAGTAACACAATATTACCATAGTAATGCTAAAGAATATTTTTTAAGCCAAGATTTATATTTCAAGAATGACTGGAAGGCAGCAGAGCCACAGTCTTCTAGGTGACCTAAGAAGAATCTAATAAATCAGTTTCTCAATAAATGTCATTTCTAGACATTACTTTCCTCATCCAAACAAATCAATCTTTTCTGCATATCTGTGTGAGTGATCAAAATTCCAGGAACTATATCATCATTAAAGATATAAAATTCCAGATTTCTCTGTCTCGCCAATAACTAGCCAAATTCTAGAAAAAAATAACTTTTGGTGTTTTGTTTTTGTTTTTTTTTTAACAAGACTCAAATTTTTTATTTGCTGATTTCTTATAGTTGAAGTACTCCTCAATGATATCTGTGGCTGATAAAATAGTTTTAGCAAGTAAACTACAGTATGTATTATGAGCATTTCCCTGATATTCTCACAGAACACCAGTAAGTAACAACTGCTACTATATAGCAAGCTCCCATTGGATCCGTCATCTCAACATTTCAGAGTCTATTCTTCACTCGTATTATGACTTCCATCTTCCCACTTAGGATCAAAGAATATTTGAGCTAGAAAGAAGTCTTGGAGATCATTTAATATAATTCCTTCACTTACAAGAAGACAGCTGAAATCCAGAGAGATTATGTGACTAGAATTGAGATTTTCTGATTCCCAATTTAGTGTACTTTACACCATAACAGATCATCTTCTGGTGGCGCTTAAGGTTCAAACTTATCAATAATTCACTCAAAAACATTACTGAGGACTTAATACGCTGCAGGCACTAGGGCTCAATGACCAGCAGAGATGATGAACACGTGAAAAGGAAATGACTAATATCAACCCTAGAGAAATGAAAGCATGTGTCATATAAAAACATATATAAGAACATATATAAGAACGTTCACTTTTCCTGACGCCACAAAGTAGCGTGGAGGCGGAGGCTGGGTACATTCAAGATTCGGCTCCCCCTGTAACCCACTGCCATGGCTAAGGAAGGCACTGCTGCTGTGGGTGTAATGGATGTTAATACTGCTTTAGGAGAGATACTGACGACCTCTCATCCACCAGGGGCACATGGAATTCGTGAAGCTGCCAAAGCCTCAAACACCAAGCCCTTCTGTATGTGCTTGCATCCAACTGTGATGAGCCTATATATGTCAAGTTGGTGGAGTCCCTTTGTGCTGAACATTGAGTCAACCTGATTAAGGTTGATGACAACCGGAAACTCGGGGAATAGGTACGCCTCTGTAAAACTGACAGACAGGAAGAACCCTGGAAAGTGGCTGGTTACAGTTGTGTGGTGGTTAAGGACTATGGCAAAGTCTCAGGACAAGGATGTCATCGAGGAGTACTACAAATAGAAGAAATGAACAAATAAATGTGGCTTCTGTTTAAAAAAAAAAAAAATGTTCACAGCAATTGTATTCCCCCAAATTAAAAACCCAATGTGTCACAAGAGAAGAGATAAACTGAGGAATATAATGCACTACTATTCAGCAATAAAAAAAGCATTAACTACTGATATTTTATTAACATGAATCTCAAAAATGGTAAATGAAAACTACAGAATTGCTTTGTTTAACTTCTTAAATTTCTTCTAAGTATCTACAGTTGTTATTAATACTGTATTAAATAAATGACTAAAGAACTAATAGTAACACAATATTACCATAGTAATGCTAAAGAATATTTTTTAAGCCAAGATTTATATTTCAAGAATGACTGGAAGGCAGCAGAGCCACAGTCTTCTAGGTGACCTAAGAAGAATCTAATAAATCAGTTTCTCAATAAATGTCATTTCTAGACATTACTTTCCTCATCCAAACAAATCAATCTTTTCTGCATATCTGTGTGAGTGATCAAAATTCCAGGAACTATATCATCATTAAAGAATATAAAATTCCAGATTTCTCTGTCTCGCCAATAACTAGCCAAATTCTAGAAAAAAATAACTTTTGGTGTTTTGTTTTTGTTTTTTTTTTAACAAGACTCAAATTTTTTATTTGCTGATTTCTTATAGTTGAAGTACTCCTCAATGATATCTGTGGCTGATAAAATAGTTTTAGCAAGTAAACTACAGTATGTATTATGAGCATTTCCCTGATATTCTCACAGAACACCAGTAAGTAACAACTGCTACTATATAGCAAGCTCCCATTGGATCCGTCATCTCAACATTTCAGAGTCTATTCTTCACTCGTATTATGACTTCCATCTTCCCACTTAGGATCAAAGAATATTTGAGCTAGAAAGAAGTCTTGGAGATCATTTAATATAATTCCTTCACTTACAAGAAGACAGCTGAAATCCAGAGAGATTATGTGACTAGAATTGAGATTTTCTGATTCCCAATTTAGTGTACTTTACACCATAACAGATCATCTTCTGGTGGCGCTTAAGGTTCAAACTTATCAATAATTCACTCAAAAACATTACTGAGGACTTAATACGCTGCAGGCACTAGGGCTCAATGACCAGCAGAGATGATGAACACGTGAAAAGGAAATGACTAATATCAACCCTAGAGAAATGAAAGCATGTGTCATATAAAAACATATATAAGAACATATATAAGAACGTTCACTTTTCCTGACGCCACAAAGTAGCGTGGAGGCGGAGGCTGGGTACATTCAAGATTCGGCTCCCCCTGTAACCCACTGCCATGGCTAAGGAAGGCACTGCTGCTGTGGGTGTAATGGATGTTAATACTGCTTTAGGAGAGATACTGACGACCTCTCATCCACCAGGGGCACATGGAATTCGTGAAGCTGCCAAAGCCTCAAACACCAAGCCCTTCTGTATGTGCTTGCATCCAACTGTGATGAGCCTATATATGTCAAGTTGGTGGAGTCCCTTTGTGCTGAACATTGAGTCAACCTGATTAAGGTTGATGACAACAGGAAACTCGGGGAATAGGTACGCCTCTGTAAAACTGACAGACAGGAAGAACCCTGGAAAGTGGCTGGTTACAGTTGTGTGGTGGTTAAGGACTATGGCAAAGTCTCAGGACAAGGATGTCATCGAGGAGTACTACAAATAGAAGAAATGAACAAATAAATGTGGCTTCTGTTTAAAAAAAAAAAAAATGTTCACAGCAATTGTATTCCCCCAAATTAAAAACCCAATGTCTGTCAAGAGAAGAGATAAACTGAGGAATATAATGCACTACTATTCAGCAATAAAAAAAGCATTAACTACTGATATTTTATTAACATGAATCTCAAAAATGGTAAATGAAAACTACAGAACTCTCAGCACACAACTCCACGCCCCCCTCCGCAAAAAAAGCCTTCTCCACTAAAGGACCTGACCAAACTCGAGCATGGTTTCTAGCAGCATAAGGTGGTTGGTGTTCCTAGGACCACACACTCTACTCCCATCCCCCACTACAGTGCCTGCCTGAGAAAGCTCTACACTGCCAGAATTTACTGTTTGTTCTAGCCAACACCTGGCCATAGGGCCTTGACCTCCCTTTCTTAGAGCATTTACTAAAGAGAGCTTACACTGTGAATATTTATCTCTTACAGCTCAGAAGTATCTTTCTCAAGGACTGGAGCCATTCCTTTGAAATGTAATCATTAGGAAAGACTCTCAGTTTCTGTGGGAGGATAGAATCCTACTTTGATAACTGCCAGCTAGCAAACACTGCTGACCTAATCGAATTTACACTGATGAACTTTTTGTAATTTTTCACTTCTAAGTTTCTACTGAGCACCCCCCACTCTCCCCTGATCCCTCATTCTCACTTTCAAAGGCTCTAACACGTCCTCTTTCCCCTACTGTCAGTAGTTACTGAATAAAATCCATTCACCATGTTAATGTCAGGCTGTGTTTGTCTTTGATATTGAATGAAGGAGACAGACAAAAGAATCTATGCTGTGATTCTACCTACATGAGACTCTAAATAGGCAAAAGTTTTACCTACCATTGCTTTTGCACCAGCAGTGTAAATATCATCACAGTGAAAAGAGTAAAAAACATCTCAGTATGATTATGAAAGTGTTTTTATGTTACAGGTCCCCTGAAAGGGTCCGGGGAGCCCCGGGTGTCTACAGACCACATTTTGAAAATTGCTATTAGAGATAAAGGTAACTTAGACTAAGGGGTTCAGGTAAGAATTCCCAAAGGAAATAAGACTTTAAGAGCCAAGAGACTAAGGGTGATCTATATCTGTTTGCCCCTTATCTTTTATTCCTAATTTCTGCTCAGTGCCTGACACACAACCAGTTCTCAAAAATATTGAATGAATAAATGATGATAACTGAGCTGAGTTGTGAAGAAAATGACAGGCCTGCAGGGTGTTAAAAAAAAAGAAAGAAACAGGCCAAGTTGAGGCTCCTTGCCTCCAGGACAGCAAATCAAGACTAATTTCAGCCCTACGCAGGAATGTGACCTTAAACCAATCAGTCTAGAATTTCCTAATATACCCTAGCCAGGTATCTGCCTGACTAGATGCAGCCACCTTTCCCACAGCCACCTTTCCCACAAAGAAAAGTGCCCTTGCCTGAAACAATCTTTTATTTTGCTAATAACATTCTTGTCAAACCAGTTTTTGCCTATAAAAATCTTCTATTTTGTACAACTTCTTAGAGTTCCTTTCAATTTGCTAGATGGGATACTGCCCAATGTAAGAATTGTTTAATAAAGCCAAGCAGATATTCAAATTTACTCAGCTAAATTTTGTTTTGTTTTGTTTTTTAACAAGAGAAAGCTTGGGGTAGATTTGGGGCTGGTCAGTGGCAAGAAATGAAGCTGGAAAAATATATAGATTAATCTAACATTACATCAACATAAAGATTTTGTACAAAATGTTGGTAAGTAGAATCCAGCATGACCAAGTAGGATTTATTCCTGGAAAGCGAAGATTCAATTATTAGGAAATAGAGTAATGTAATTTATATAACTATATGGTCATCTCCATAGATATAATCACGAAGCATAACATAAAAATATTAACAGGATTTTTGAGCAAAAGTTTTTCTCTGCACAATAAATATAAATTTTTTTCTCATTCTTAATTGCTGCTTTTTGCTGAATGTTTGTGTGGTATAATAAATATATGTATTTGGTCTTTACCCCTGGTTCCTAGCACAGAGCTCCTAGAACTCTGGGAATTTCTTGAGTAACAGGAGTGTCTTTTATTACTCATAATGATCCTTTTTTAAAGACATCTGAGTCTATGCTAATGAGGTGACTTAGGGTGGTACTCCTTGATAGCCTCAGAATGGAGGCAGTCACCTTGTAGAGTAGATAAATGATTAAAGCATAATCATGGGAGGCAATTTTCAGCCTCTCACCCAAACCTGGTAAGGAGAAAAGAGACTGGTTTATGTAACTCTTGAACAAAGAGAACATCCAGATTGATGAACACATCAAGGTGTTGGGAAGGTGATGTGCCTGCCTAGAGGTGGCATGGAAGCTCCAAACCCTTCCCCTCATA